GGCCGAGCCGTGTCTCGATACGATCGAGACCTAACGTACCGTGGTATCGTACACGTGCCCTGTTTCGTGCAATACCGTGCAGTAGCACCGCGCCACGCTACTGCCGTGTGTGCAGCGCGTACAAACGAAAGCTACGAATCGCGCGTGAAAAACACGTTTTCGCGATAATTAGGCGAAAGTTTCGCGAAAAACCAGACGATTTTTACATTTCGTTTATCGAAATCGACGCGATTCGCGCGGGCTGTTGCCGCTACCGGTTCTCAACGTCGTCCTCGTAATTGGCAGAGACAGATACGCTTAATACGGGCAGTTTATAACGCAGCTTTCGAGCTTTCGTCGTAAGATCGACGGCTGCGTGACTCCATTAGGTAGGATTCGTCCGTCGGTCGCTTGAATCGCGAGATCGCAGGATAATGGAAGGCAGAGACGTGAGATTGGAAGAACGACGGAAGGAAGGAAGGAGTAACTGCGAAAAAGTGATAGAACGATCAAGCAGGATATCCGGAGAATGGGAAGAGGGTGGGTGCTGGGCCGGCTGTAATGGGAGAAACGGCGGGCCAAACCAAAGATGGGTACAATAGGAACGGCAACGGGAAGAGCAACGCGACGAAATAAAAGTAGATTTAAGAGTTACGCGAGTGCAACGATGGCGTAGCTACAGTTTCGGAGTAGAAGAACGCGTTGGGAATTAATTTGCCAGTGAAATCCGATTTCGCGGTCTGTAGGCGGAACGAAAACTCGTTCAATTAATTAGACAGAGTTAGGAAAAATATGGTAGGAAACGCGGTTCCCGAATTCGTCGCAAAGTTGCCTGGCATCTGGCCGGAAGAGCGACGCACGGTTCTATCCAACGTTATCCAAAGCGAGGTTGATTTTGCTACGAAAACGAAGCGTTTTAATCGCGCGTGCGATACCGCCAAAGTACCGGATCCAGATACTTTGGTTACACGACCGCAAATGGCAAAGGAAAATAACGAGTCGCGTTACGCGGGACAGCCTGCACGAGCAACAACGTTTCCTTCGCGCAGCGTTCGTTTCAGCCTTGCTCCTATCCTTATTTGTCGGTAATTAGTATCGCGTTGTCCCGAACCAAGGTACGCCGTCCTGGTACTCGCGTACAACGACGTAATTAACGAGATAATCGTCAGCGCGAGCGCTATCCAGCCGTACGGATCCTTCTCGAACGGAACGTTCTCGCGTTCGTCTGCCGTTGTCGGTTGTATTCTCCTAGATCTGCGATTTCGTTCGTCGTAGATTTGCCAACGTTCCTGTTCTCGGACTCCCGAGAACGATGGATGGACGATGGATTCGCGTATAACGCAAGGAACGAGAGTAACGAGGCAACGAGACGGAACGGCGGAAAGGGCGACAGGGAGGGGAGGTGTTGTTTATCGGAATATTTACGAGCAGTGGAACCCCGTTGATGCGTGCCCGGCCGAAACACGTTGACCGTACTAGACGGTGCACGTGTCTGCACGCACCTTCGACCATGCGTGTTCGTTCGTTTATGCGTGTATCCGCGTGCTTACGACGAGACGTGGCAACGCAGGTTGGAATGCAGTTTAGGAACGCGAGAGTCGCCCACGAGGCCAGCTCCCCTTCCCCTTCCGAAGGCCTTCTTACAGGAAGAAACCGAGGCTGAGGGGAAGCTCGCTGCTACCAGGAAGGAACTCGTTGGAATTCCCTTGACTCGCCTTCTTTCTTCTCGTCTCTACACCGGCTCTCCGTGCCTCCTCTCTTCCTTCTTTTTCCTCTCCGACCCTCCGCCTTTCTCTCCTCCTTCTTTTCACCGAATAATTTCCAATATACCGATGCACGCGGTACCGACGTTTAAATTACCACGCTGGCATTCGCATCCATTCACGATGACCGTTTGCTGGTATCTGCGCGCGCGTTTCTCTTCACCGAGGTATTATTCGACGCGACCGTGTCGCAAATTCTACGACAATGTCTCGCCGTTGCTTCGTATTATCCGTTCGAACTCTCGAAGGTAGCAGCGCGATGCCTCTCTTCGGGCAAACGTGGCGCGCAATTAAACGCGATCACGCAAGGCGTCGGTCGTCGAGTACGTTCTCAAATCTACCGAGCGTCGGACGCAGCGAAAAACCTCTTTGTCCTCCGATGGTCGAACGAAGCGAACGGAAGCGACTTGGAGATTGTCAAATATGTTTTTCTCCGATGAAAACGGTCAAGGACGGCTTCGTACTTCTCTAACGGCATTGCGTAACATTCCGCGACGTAACTGGCTAATTTATTCGTACTCAAGTCGGTGTTCCGTGTGCTTGCACGAGTCTCGACCAAGCATCTTTGTATATCGCGGAATAATTTCCCAAGCGAGCTATTTAGAAAAAGCCTATCGAACACCCTGTAGACAGCGTACTTGCCATTTAAACGAGTTACGCTGGATACGTACGTCGATCGTCGTTCTCCGTAAGAACGGCTGATACGACACGACGCGAGCAGCGAGTTGGCAGAACGGATTCGAACGAATACGTTCGCACAGCGTACGTGATATCGACGACGGTATCCGACTCGCGATCAGCCATTGTAATTTGCCTCTTCCATGCAATTTTCTATTCTTTCTGGGAAAAAGGTTGAAATAAAATTTCGCATATCTTGCCCTGGATCCGACAGTCGGAGATCTCATTTTCCCGAAATATCCAATCGTATCTCGATTATTCTAGAAAATAGTAATAGTAAATAGTAGGCGAGACGCGGATGACCGGTGACCAACCTAGCGATCAACGCGTCAAACGGTCCGATGCTTTCCACGAGTTCTTCCTCTTCTTCCTCTTCTTCTTTTTACGTCGGTCTATTTGATTATCGCGCGAGACGAGAAGACGTCGTTGATCTTGACGTACGTCGAATTTGCCTGGATCGTTTTTCTCGGCAAGGAAGATGGAAGCAAGGACGGTGCGCGATCCAACACTCGACTCGTCGTGTCGACGAAGTCAACGGCGGGAATAACGGAGCCTGGTGTCG